TTTTTTTAAATATAAAAAAAATCATCAACATTTATTCAAATGAAAATTAGAAATAATTTTATTACTTTTTATCAACGGGGTGGAACTAGTAATTATTTTATCATGTTATTTTAGTAATTATTTATTATGTCTTCAGTTAATTCAGATCGCCGTTTTATTTTTTTTTCACTATTATAACCGAACAATTCTGTTTTTATCGATTTTTTAACCAGCTTATGTTAATCAATATTTTATCATGATGGAAGGATGTCTCTGTTTTCAGATTAAAGGAAATTTGTTATTACTCTTCTGAAGTCTTGGGCGAAATATCTAGAGTAGAGCCAGAACTGAAGGGCAGAACTAAAAGACAGAACTGGATATTGGCGTGTCAGAGGAGCCGGTAGATTTATGGTCCAGACTTCCCCAGTAGCGATATATACAGCAGTGGCTGCCCAATACAGCAGTGGCTGCTCAATACAGCAGTAGCTGCCGGCAGTTGTAAACCCACCCTTTTCCTTTCTAATCCTCTCTGCCCTTTTATATTTGATGCCTACCCTTTCATGAATCCACAACCTTCTGTAGCTCTGGTTTATTCAGGTCCGATCCGTAATCCAATTGTGATGGGGTTCGATACAGGCTATGGCTAAGCAAATATTTTCTAATAACAGTACAAGTATTCAAGACAGGTTCTCATGAATCGAAACTTTAATTTGCTTTATGATGAAAATATAGGAAGGAGGAGTAATAGGAATAATTTGAGATTAGAATAGAATAACTGTGCGAATAGCTGTAGTGTGGACTAGAGGTGGAGCCTGAGTCAGTCATAGGGTGACGCGTACTGCTGTCAAACACGATCTCTTCAAACTCATTTATTTTAAAAGGTAATAAAATACATTTAAAATAAAATAGTTTTAAGTTATGGCGGAAGGATAAAAAGGAAAATAAAAAGATATTTTCAAATTGGGGAGAATAGAAGAAGCTAATTAGTATAATATATCCAACAGTATGAATTAGGTAGCCCATGAAATAACTTCGTCCTCAACACTTTCATTCAAAGCTAATTATCTTTGCAAATATTTCAGATTTTTTTTTTCGAGGAAGATGGTCCGGGGTGGCAGTAGTAAATATTCTAAAATAGGGGAAAAAAAATTTATTTGAAGCCAACGTTTCGACCCAACTTTGCAGGTCTTCTTCAGGGCAAGAACGGACAAGATTACAAACAAGGTGACTAAACTTATTGAAATTATAAACGGTGATTAGATTGAAATATTAAGAACAATAAACTATATGATCATCATAGACTTTAAATCATAGGATCGAATCCCGGCCCTACTTCCCAATACGGCTGGTCCCCGCGGGAGGTTAGACCATTACCCTCTTAATTGGGGAGGCCTACAGATGTAATACTTGTAAAAACAGGCTATACAAAAAAAAAAAAAAAAAAAAACTATATAAAACGAGTTAACTAAGTGACAAGATCCTAAACTGAAGTAAATAAATGGTAACAATTCTTGAAGTATAATATATAATATAATATACGCAATTATGAATATACTAAATATACTGAATATAGTGTATTAATAATGGTTACCATCTATTTAATTCAGTTTAGGATCTTGTTACTTAGCTTACACTGTTTATATAGTTTATTGTTCTTAACATTTAAATGTACTAACTGTTTATAATTCCAAGAAGTTTATTCACCTTGTTTATAATTTTTATCTAAATTTTATGTAACTTCCACAATTTCCTATATCCTTATATCTTGTCCGTTCTAGCCCTGAAGAAGACTTGTAAAGTCGGGTCGAAACCTTGGCTTGAAATTAAATAGTTTTTCCGCTATTTTAGTCTATTTATGACCACCACCCTAGACCATCTCCTTCCTCTAAAATACACAACGGTCAACTATTAAGTATTCAATTTCTTTTTTTCGTTTTTATTGTAATAATATGGCAATACAACGAATACAAATCGAAAACTCAAAGAAAAAATGAACATTTCGATATAAAATGATATAGCAAAGAATCGAAATGAGTTCCATAATACTACCGCTACTCTTTAATACCGAGAAATAAAAGCTATTGCTGTTAATTTCTTCAAAAGGTGAAATCAAGCTCTGAATTATTCTAGTAATGTTTAATATATGTAAGTACTCATTCGATTTTCTTCAAACTTATTAGAAAATTATTATAAATTGTTCAACGAAAATCTTTTGACGGATAAAAATATAGAAGTTGAATTAATGATTGAACAATAAACCTTTATCTTATAGAAAAAGCTTTTCAAAAGTGACGCATTTGTTGGAGAGAACAAGCAAAGGAGGACGGGGTTGTGAAGGTGACGTCATTGCTAATGATGACGTAATAGTGCATTATTGCTAATCATGACCCGATACTCTTCACAATCATTCAACCACAGACCTTCCAATATTTATGGCGGCTCGGGCTAAACTTGATAATATTACTTTCTATCTTCTTAACAAGAAATCTTTTGGTCTAAGTCATATCGAGGTAATCGTTCATATCTTTGTTTTTTTCGGAGTAAACTTTGATTTTTAAAAATAATTTTGATTAATTATTAAGATGTGGAAGGAAGAGAATAAGAAGCAGATTAAGATCTTGATAATTTTAGGAAAAAGGAAACCGAGCAGCTGGCCATTACATTATTTGATCTGAGCTCGGCTTTCAATTTTTGGACAGTCGTCGTATATAGGAGTGCCTAAAAGGGGGGTTTTTGGCGCAATTCGCGCGATCAAAATTTTTAGGGGAGGGGGAGAAATATTTTGACAAGTTTTTGATTTTTTTTTTGGGGGGGGGCACATTTTAATGGGATTATGAATTTTTGAAATGAATATTTTCAGAATAAGAGGCTAGGGAAAAACGTGGAACAAACAGCTGTAAGTATAATTTTGTATGATCTATAATTTTTCTAATTCTACTCCCCCTAGCTCTGATTTTGAAAGAAAGTAAATTTTATTCTGGAAAATTTATTCCCCTCAGAATAACTATTATGAACAAGGAAATGACAATTGTGAATAATTAAATGGCAATTAAAAATAAATTAATTTACAAAGTTGTCTAATATTAATGTTAAAATAAAGAAAAGACACTGTAGTAAATATATGATCTTTAAGTAGACAAAATAATTTTAAAGATGACATACATACAAGTGAGTTCACGTATTTGTACAAATAAGCAATATGACACATACGTAGATATCTGCAAGATATCGGTATAGTGCAACTGACATTTCTAAAGAACAAAATAACTTTATTTTTGCATATATTCGAAGATTGATTACTGAGGAGATGGGAAAATAAATTATGTTTAAATGAGGTCAAGGATGAGGATTTATGTAAAGAGGTTGGTTGGAAATTCCAAAACGAGGTAGCAGGTATGACGAAGGATTTTTTAAAGGAAACAGTTCTATGAAAAGAAATAAACAAATTTGAGTTTTAGGGTCTCATATTGAACGAATGAACAGATTTTAAGAAAAGATGAGCAATAAAATATCTTGGGAGGGGAAGGGAATAGATTCTTGAGCCATCGATGTTGGGGGAGATGGTTACCCCTGGTCTTATAAAGAAGGGTCTTTATAATAAGGAGAGAATTAGGTTGAGGATCGTATTAATTTATATACCATCCTTTGACGTTCCCAGGCTTCTTTCTGAGAAGAAAAATAACTCAGTCAGAAACTGAAGATGAACAATAAGACATTATCCAGGTCTATACAAACCTTCCGAGTGAAGGGAGAGACTTATCATGGACAACACGACCTGTTAAGTAAACGAGGCATGTATGAGGGAAATGTGGGTATGACTATTTAATAAAGAGACTAATGCTGTAGAACATTTTATTTTGATTTCTCAAATATTTACTTAATTGTCAACTTCAATATACACCCCTCCTCTATTACTAAAACGCTCCATGCTAACCTCCCATGGCCTGAAACAGTACCAATAACTGGAAGTACTACTCCATGGACTGAAAAAACCATACTTCACCTAGAGTCAAAAAAGTCAAATAAGCAAATACAAGCAATGATGTTTTATTCGATATTGATGGGAATGTACACTGGATTTGTGAAGAGCAAACTGTTAATATGTGAAGTAATCAATATCGCGACATTTACTTTCTTTCTGAAAGAGAAAGCAGCGTCCTGAAGAAGCTGACAGACATCAAGACTTCAAGAACTATTTCAGACAATGGAAGATTCGCATGGATCGTTATAGATATAGAAATGTGACGTATATTGAACGTGATAATAAGTAAATATGTAATAAATCAAAATAAACTGTTTTATATCAGAATCAATCGTAAAGCACCCGTGGTACACATGAGGACTAATAAGCCCACAGATTTCAAGTTTTGTCCGGGCACAACGAATGAAATGGTGAGGGCATGTTTTTAGAAAGAGAGGAGAGTACTAATAAATAATTGTATCAAGGGAAACCGGAATGAGTAAGATCTTGTAGAAGACCAATGGCTAGATGAACGGAGCGATTCCATTACTCAAGCTGGCGATCCGCCCAAATTCTTATGTAATTAAACAAGAACCACTAGAGAGTAGATTTGAGACAGAGAACCCTGGACACTATATAAGCTAAAAAGACAAGAAGTCGGTGGACTTACCATCCCTGGATACTATATAAGCTAAGAAGTCGATGGACTCACCGTCCCTGGACACTATATAAGCTAGGAAGCTGATGGACTCACCGTCCCTGGACACTATATAAGCTAAGAAGTCTATATAAGCTAAGAAGTGGATGGACTCACCATCTATAGATGTTATATAAGCTAAGAAGACAAGTAGTCGATGGACTTACCGTCTCTGGACACTATATAAGCTAAGAAGTCTATATAAGACAAGAAGTGGATGGACTTACCGTCCCTGGACACTATATAAGCTAAGAAGTCTATATAAGCTAAGAAGACAAGAAGTTGATGGACTTACCGTCCCTGGACACTATATAAGCTAAGAAGTCTATATAAGCTAAGAAGACAAGAAGTTGATGGACTTACCGTCCCTGGACATGCCCAGCCGCAGACACTTCTGCAGCCTGCAGTACTGGCAGCGGTTCCTGTTGACCCGGTCGACGAGGCAGGCCTTGCTCCTGGGACACTGGTAGTTGACCACCGAGGACTGGCTCCTCCTGAAGAAGCCCTTGCAGCCCTCGCAGGTGATGACGCCGTAATGCACGCCCGAAGACTTGTCCCCGCACACCTTGCACGGGATGATCTCGATTTGCGCTGCGAACGAAACAAAACAAAATATATAAATATATTTATATCACATCTTATAAATCATTATCACTATATAGATAAAGAAACAAAACAGAAAATAAGATAACTAAGAACAATTAAAGTCAAGACTAATAATATGAAATATATTTTTTGTTCTCTCTTCATACTTCTATCCACACCTGTCATAATATTGACAATAAGCAGATGTGATCTCATTGTAAAGAAAGTTAGCATTTAAGGCATGAGGAAGATTAGTACCCAGCACTACCTCTTCCTGGTCTTGGTCTACTTCATAATTTAGGAAAGGAGATCTCTCATCCAGCTCCTCTTTAGTCGACTCTTGATGGGCATGTCAGCTGTGGCCATGTCGTTAATAAGTCCGTTGTGATGTCCGTGTAGTTTAAGATGAAATCGGGAGTAGAGAGTACGTACGTGTTGGTCGATAGTCGGTTGATGTAAGTCGGTATGTAAAGTTTTGTAGTTTACGTACCAGGGAGCTGGTGTTATTAGTCTTAAAATTTTGGATTGAAAAGATTGTAGTTTTTGTAAGTGCGTCTTTTTTGCAGAACCGTAAATTTGTGAGGCGTATGTCCATATGGGTTTGAGTAAGTCTTTTGTTTCATTTTGACATGTGGGCCCCATGTCATCCTTTTGTCGAATATATTTGCCCGAGATAACATACAGTGTCAGTCTGAGGAATTGGCATACAAGGTTCTTTTGACTCAGAATAACATACACTTTCGTAATTTACAATCAAACCTTCGCCTGCCAACAGGCGATTTCGGGCCCTGGCTCCAGGGCTATATTTAGTGAATTACTAAGTTATACGTCAATAAAACCCACTAAAGTTACTGTACGTAAGAAAAGATAAAAACGAATTATTTTCTCGAAAAAGAATATAGTACGGATGTAAAAATAATACGCATATATTATAAATATATAATATTGTGAAGGGAGATAGCGATAAAACGCCACATTCATTATTTATAACAAACGCGTTTTCAGAGGGAATTTTATCGCTACTAAAGCTGTCAGTCTATTTGAGTCGAGTAAGGGGATACCAGCCTTTGGCACAGAATCCCAGATCAATAGCGAGATATATTACAATACATTATTAATTGAGATGAATAGATTACATGTCTATGTGAGAATACAATTATGTATTCTCTAGGAATAATGAGCTACCACATAGGTATATATAAAACTGTTCTAATAAAGATCATAAACAATAAGGTATTTTACAAAGGTAAACAATTGTATTAATGCATTATTTTTCACAAATAAAAAACAAAACGAATCATTAGTCAGATAGCAAATAATTTTTATTCGGGAGAATCAAGATAAGAGTTTATATATGTATATAAGAGTTTTGTTGAACATATCGACTATAATATTTTAAAATTTGAATACCAAGGAAAATCCAGAAAAGAATTAGTGGAAATTAATATAGATAAGTTTTTTTTTAATTAGCCATAAAAATAAGAAATTACATATTTCAATTCGATTTTCTGTTGCATTCAGTTTAAACAAATTACTATCGCCCGTTAGAAAAGTTATATTAAAAAAATTACAGAATTTGTTGGATATTTAATTATTATATTATATTATTAATTATTATTATTTAATATTTTGTTGGAAATAGATATTAATCAAAAGTATTCCTAACATATTTTGTTTATGAAAAACCTATCGTATCATTTTTAGAGTATGATACAAACGACGATCAATCAGACCAAAGTTTAATAGTGTAATTTTTATACAACTATAATTGTATAAATTTAAATGATATTACTTTGTGAATATAGAACAAAAAAAAGTTTATATTTATTATTATTAAGCTCACCTTGTTGATGTTGTCACTTATATCGTGTGGTATAAGAAACCGTATTATTTTTATTATATTTCAATATATTTATGTACAAATAATTAATAAGAAAATAAGTACAATTATATTAACAATGTGAAAGTTATATAAATATTTTAATTACAAAAAGAGTGGTAACAAAATTCTCCAATTCATTAATTGTTAAATTCACTGGTGAGCATTATTCTATAGGAAAAAGCAGACTTGCAGTAATTTACCAATGTTTCCATTTATTAAATCAATTACTTGATCCAGAGATAAATTTCTAGATTTTAACTATTTAATTCTAAATTTAGAGAGTATCTGACAAGCAGCCATGTTTATAATTTAAGTTCAAAACATCAGCTCTAATTTTAATTACCCATCTGATCACCTTCAATGAGCTTTTATCATCAATATAATTTACTGAAGTTAAATGAGGATAAAAAATAAAAGTTTTAAAATTCTTAACTTGAATTACATATTCATTATGTATGTCTTTCTGAATTTGAGTTCTTAGTAAATACAAATTAGCTCTCCATAGTTCAATATCGATCATAGTTAGATCGATTTAAGTTGAAATTTAATCCATGCAGTTCTATCAGGTTAAGTCCCTAAACCATGCGATTTCTTTTGGTTTATTATTTTCAATAATCAATCATTGTGATCGACCAAAAAATTCAAAAACTTAACCCCCTCTCAAAATTTGAGGTTTCACATTTCAGGAGGCGTAGAATTCGAAAAACTAATAAAAAAATTTTTGTCCGTCCGCCGTCCGCGCATTTTCTTCTTAAAATTACTAGACCGATTTTTTTCAAATTTTGATATAAAATCAGAGGTCACCCGAGGATGATCCTCCTTCATCGACATTATTCTCCGCCTTTAACTTTCAAAATGGCAGCCGAAAAACTTGCGTTGCTATAGACTGTAGCTCCTAAACGAATGTACCGATTTCAATGAAACTTCACTAAAGTCATTTTCTCGACGCCCTTTAAATTTATCTATATAACATACTTCAACGAAAAGAAGCTGGAAAAAAAATACGAGGGATGGTAAAATTAAATTCCGAATAACTCGAAAAGTTTTTACTTTTTTGTTGATATTGTGATGAGATGTTTCAAAGGTATTTAAATTTCCTAAAAAAAAGGAAGGAAGTTTCATCGAAATCAAAGCACTATTAGTAGAGATATCGCGGTTTTTACATATTTTTGGTTTATTATTTTCAATAATCAACCATTGTGATCGATTGAAAAATTCAAAAACTTAACCCCCTCTCAAAAATTGAAGTTTCAAGTTTTTTAATTATCTTTAGAAATAATATTGGTTTTGTTATCAAAATTGGAATAGAAAATAATTTTTTTCGAATTTTCTAAAAAAATGTGAATTATGATTAGAGTTCACTTTGTAAATAAACGACTCATGTTTTGAACTCTGATTGATTGAAGCCAGATTTTTAGCTATTAATAGAATATTCCTGAATTATTTTATAAGCTAATTATAATACTAAATATGTATTATTTATTGTAATATTGTAGAAAATATTGTGAAAAGGGCTGGCTGAAGGCTTTGAGGCTGAAGGCTAATGTGTAGGCTTGGAAGAGCCCATCCTAAAAGCAAGGGGTCGTTCACCTCGGAAGTCAGTTCTCGTTCTAAGACAGTATTCCCACTGTGTTGGCTACTTATATCTTCTCTAGTAGTTGCTAACTTACAGTACTGTATAGTAATAATACAATATAATATAATATAATATAATATACAGGCTAATACATTAATTCATCTTTAGCTTTTAAAGATAAGTAAGTGTTTATATTGAATATATATAGGCAGTCCTATCCATATATTGGAATTGAACAATACATGATTCTCTTAGGAAAGTAAAAAAAAATATCAACACGAAAATACTTGTGTCTAAATTGAACATTTATTCGTATTTTATTTATTTTTAAAAATACATACATTGAAATTTATTTTATTTCATTTATTATTTTTTTAAAGGATATAATAAATAATTTAATTTAAAAAATTCAATTAAGGAGAAATAATGACAATTTTTTAAAATAACTAATATTACTTCAATTTTAAGTTTTAGATAACAGAATGAAACGACAAACCGCTCGACGTTTCCGATTACTTCAGCACTAGACAAAAGCTCTAAACTTCCAATTAATTACAAAAGACTGATATACTTGACTATAATAAGGCCTATTTGGACTTACAAAGTTGAGCTAGTTCCTTACAATCCAAAATCTTTCGTAAAATCCTTAATGCTCCCTACTTTGTTATAAATAAAAGCATGTTTCTTATGTTTCAGATCTGGCCCAATCCAGATAACTATCCTTCCATAATAAACTTCAGAATCATCTTACCAATTTCAAGATACAAAAATTACACATTTTTTTATTTTTAAAGAAAGGAGATGGTCCGGGGTTGCGGTCATAAATAGGCTAAGTAGTGGTGAAACTATTTTATTGAAAGCCGACGTTTCGACCTGACTTTGCAGGTCTTCATCAGGGAGGTGTGTTCATCTAGGAGTTTCACTTAGAACTTCAGTTAAACTCAGTTATAGAATTCAGTTATAGAATTTCAGTTAGAACTTCAGTTCTACGTGAAACTCCTAGATGAACACACCTCCCTGATGAAGACCTGCAAAGTCGGTTCGAAACGTCGGCTTTCAATAAAATAGTTTCACCACTACTTAGCCTATTTATGACCGCAACCACGGACCATCTCCTTCCATTATAATGCAACGGTCAACTATTAAATATTCAATTTTTTATTTTTGTTCTTTCTTATCCGTCATGAACTTGAAATCCTTCATTTACGGTGTTATAAAATAATAGTAATTATTTTAATTTTCAAAATTATTACGTTTATGTATTATTTTTTTGTTTTATTAACGATCTCCGAATTTTTACTTTCTTAACAATACTTTTTTTTTGGTGTAAAAATGTATTTTGGGTAAATCTTTTTTATCTGTGCCAAAATTATTTCTTGATTGCGTTGCTTCTTTTTTGTTTTTGGGATTTCGGGCTCCTGCATGCAACCCAAATCGCAATTTTCATAAAACATGATTTTTTAAGAATTTAACATAAAAGTGACTGTAATGATTTTAATGAACTCTGCCTAAATGCTTCGATTTAAAGCCCTCTAATTTTTTATATCA